GAAGATACTTTGTTAGTAACTCCACATTTATAACTTCAGGTATCTTTCTTGAACATCATTGAAATCTGTTCAAATCAAATGACCAGTTTTAGTTGTTAAATAGCTATTCTATACTATTACTTTTTGAACCAGTCGAATGAAATTCTCATATTTTGAAACCCATAAAAAACGTGAACATCTTAAAAGGCAAAAAATCAGGTTGCTACTGCTCTATCCAAAATTAGCGTTGAAAATCCCCTAAACTGTTGAACATGATTACTATGATTATTATTATTTGGTAGTTAAATTACTAAACGTTAATTGAATGGAGATTCTGTTATCAAGAATCTATGAAACAACGAAATTACTGATGAATTCAATGCTTCGTTTTGGTAAACTTGTAACCAGTGTAGGCGATATGCTAAGAATAATCAAATTGAAAAGGACGTTTCAAATTCTTGATAATACTCATTCCCTCAACTATAAAGCCTCAACTTTCAACTTCGTTTCGCTTCTGTCAATAAAATAATTAGATTCATTTCTCCGTTTAAAGTTAATTATTTGTTTTGTACCTTTCGATCAAATAAAAATTTTATGATGATTACAGATGGTAAGATTAACTCAATTAAAATTCGTTGATACAGTAACAAATTTTGACATTAGGCATACACGAGATAAATTGAGATCTAAGGAAATGCTAATATAGAATTAATCACAACGTGAATTCCATAAAAAAGCATCTTTTATCAATTTACAACTGTTATTATTTTCCAACAATCGTAATTGTTCGTATTAAGAACTGAAAACAAAGAAAAAACAAATTCGAGGTCTTCCTACAGTCACTCAAATTTAAGTTGCCTTAGCACCTCAAAGGCACAAATAGTTTACTGCTTCAAAATACGCCTGCAAAACAATCATAGCATCTTAAAATAAAAACCTTTCATGCGCTATACATTCGCATAAAATTAATCATTAATGAAATTAAATTTGCCATGTTTTATGCCAATTCTATGAACTCATGAAATGTTTCAAACGTATTGCACTAATTTTAAACACCAGTAATCGATTTGGCTTACGAAATAATTAATTTATGAATTGGTACCATTGACTCTAATTCAATTCTGACAAATTAATCAGATTGTAATTGCATAAAAGGAGTACTTCTACTCTTTTTAAAGGTGGAGTAAAAGTGAATAATTTGTCTTAATTTCTAGACAAAAAAGAAGGGTAGACGTGCAAATATACACTGGCTTTATTGAGGTTGGATAAATTCAAATACACTCTCTGCACAACTTTCGGGGTCCAATGCATAGACGCTGTTTACACTAAGTCCTCTGACATAATCGTTGAGTTCTAGAGAGAGAAGAAGAGAGAGAACCTCCTCACGGTTGTAGCAAAGATTGCGATTCAACAACCAATCCTGTAAATCTGAGAAGAAAAATGCTTTTTCAACAGTCCGCATCTCTAACCTAAAATATACAAACACCCTACTGAATTGGTTTGAGTAAGAAAGAAACGAAATTAAAAATAATACCTACTTGACCGGTTTACAAATCTCAGCTATACACTTATCCAAGTGACTTAGAGCAAAACTTTCTGCGATTCTCCAATTAGAAGTTTGTCTAGTAGGCGGATTGACTTTCGGCTTACCACAATCTTCTTCTTCATTATTTCTGCATTGATGCCTGGGGCGTTTTATTCCGAGGAACCAAATTGTTATGCTTTCTACCACCTTAGAACATCTGTGAGGTTAAAATAATGAAAGTAAAAAACGGTGAGATAATAGGGCACGACATGCAAAACGTACACTTTGGTGATTGGTTTTGTCATGCATTCAACATCGGAGCCATACAATGCGAACACGAAGAATCCTTGACCGAAGTTGAAAGTTTGGTCCATGAATTCTAGAATGAGTATATTTGACGTTATTTCTAGCCTCAATAACCGCCATAGACACGCGCATATTCCCTAAAAACATATACGATAAAAATAGGAAGCTATAAGAGAACAAAGGAAATAAAATTATTTTTTTATATCCAATGGATAAATGATTAACTGAGGGTAAACTGATCTGAGCGATTTAGCCATACAAATTATATAAGTAGTATTACTACAGCAATAGCGTCATGTTAATCAATTAAAGTAAAAGAGTCGATATTTAATCAATAAAGGAATTCAAATTCAGTCAAGGATCACTATGATTCCACAGATTAGGGCATAAATGACTTCTCCGATGGTCTAATGTATCTCTCTTGGAATTGCGATAGACATAATATGATTAGGTGCAATCTATATAGGGTCTTTTGAGTCGTCTATACGTAGTTTTAAATAACTTAATACTCAGTTTAGGAATGATATGATTATTATTAGTTTACCGAATTTGCTAATTTAGAGGTCACCGGTTTTGCATCAGCCCAACATATCTTCCTACTTAAGACAATTAGTAGGGTTATTCAACTTACGAGGAAAATGCCAATGAAATTTATTCCAATTAGAATAAAATGTCGATGTATCTGACCGTCCACATTATTGGGATCTTGTGGCAACTCCACCTTTTCCTCTGGAGGTTGTACTGATTCTTTATCGATTGGCTTCTCTTCCACATCAATTCCAGTGCTACTGTCCACATGATTTGCCAGGGAGACCGCCTCACTTCAAAAAACATATTGTATTTAAAAATACTAATATTTTATATTTTTTGTTTAACTATACTCAAAAACCTACGCAGAAATATGATCGTTCTCTACATGAACTGTATTCCCACTGGCCAACGGCATATAGCCATTTTTGCGGTTAATTGTGGAACGACGTCTTGAAATCGACGACCTCTTCGAACACAATTGAAGAAAATTAGAAATTAGTTGTCGTAAAGTGACCTTTGGCTAAGATTAAAGCACTTTACCAGGCTGCTTGGTTGAGATGGATGGCTTCGATTACCGATTGAGGTAAAAGCAAGCATCGCTAATGACGCAGAGGCCACGATGAAACAGCTTATAAGAACTACTATCGTGAATCCTTGCTGCAATTGAAATAAAGTAAAACACGCTTAATATGCGCATTTTCAAATTTGTGTAAAAGTGCATTTTCGCAAAAGCGATTTGTCAAACACCTTCGTCATGCACCAATAAATTCCATCATTTTGAAAGAAATTTTCAGCCACTTTTCAACAGGTTCATTTTTGCCACAAAATAAGCTTTCAATTTAACAGCGAAAAGTGAGTTGCATTGAAGTTGTCTAAGAGTTGGGGTTGAAAGTGAAAAGCGATCTCTAAATATCATGTTTCTCTTTGCTTACTCCTCTTCAAAATTCGAATATGAAATCCACCTAACTTAGTTGTGACTTTTAAATAAGGTTAAATACCCGAGATTTAGAAAATCGAAGTTTTCTCCCAATTTGTGTGTGTTAGCAGAAAATCAAGTTTAGTAAATCCTTGTCGTGTAGACAAGTCCTATTCAAGTAGTCTTAGCCTATTTTCACACATAGCGCCTGATTTAGCAAAGGGAACACAACTTTGATACTTTTAGAATAAATTTGGACACGAATTTAAAAAAAATTATTTCACTTTTGAAACCTTAAAATGAAGATTGTTTTAGCAGCTACTACTTCCATCAATGTTTAAGCGTGAGGCATCCATTCACCTTTGCCATTTCACATTTATTAATTTGAGCTTTGAGTACTATCCAACATTTAGGAAATTCGTCACTCCCCATCTCGTACATTTATTTCAAACAGTTTGGTAAATTTGAGTACTTTAAGAGATTTTGGTAGCAGTAAAATTTAAATATACCTGCATCCGTCCATTTTGATAGAATGGATTGATGTCCACTTCACGAATATCATGAGATCTGATTTTTAGAGAAACAGTCAAGATGATTGGTAATCTAAAAGGCGAATAAATCAAATATTGATGCTTTTATTCGGAATCTGTTCATTTTCGGGGTCTGTTTTTTTTCACATTTTCCTCGAAGGTATCAAAACGACCTCGCCTAAAAAGTACTTCCACATGACACAAGCTTTTCAAATAAGTATTTTAGGTATACATTTCTAAAAAATGAGACAAGGGGAATTATTTTTACAGACAAAGGGAATCCTCTTTCATCAACTTATGAGTTGAGTCTTGACCACATACTTAAGGTTTTCTTTATTGGACAAGTGGAAAATTTAAAATTTGCAAATTTTTACCCAAAATTAATAAATTAATTATTCGAATTCATTAAATTTCTTCACTTTTTCGAGCAACTTAGTAGGAAAATACATAGCTCGGGAAAGCATTCTATTTGATGAGAATTGAACAAACGGAGGAACTTACATTTCATCATATATGACCGTTTCTCTTTAAAGGTCAATTTGTGCGATGTCTCTTATTAAATTTATTTTTTATTTTTTAAAACTCCGTCCTTTCTCCTTTTAAGAAAAAATAATTAATTATATGGAAGAATAGTAGATATTTTGTCTTTTTTTACGTTCAATAAAGTAATTATCTCTCAACGTGATGCCCGTTTGTAAAATAATAATAAAATAAATTGAATTATCACTTAAGGTCGTCAAAATTCGAACTATCAACAAAATTATGAATCTTTTCACATACCGTACATTCAAGGGTGCTCAAACATTCTTAGCATCTTATTTTGCATTTAATAACACAGGATAGAAACTCATTTATGTATATTATAGGATAAACTTTATCTCAATACTACCTTAGACAAACTCGAAAGTCTAGTTTAAGTTTAATGAAAGCATATGCCTATAAATGTTTAGGCAGGAAATATTATGCCTTGAGTAGGAGTAATTTATACTCGGTTTGCTTCTATCTGACTTAACCATATCAGGAGGAAAATGAAATATTTCATCTTATTTAAGAAATTTCCTCCAATGGAATGGTTTTTTTGAAGGGCTTATGGAGATTAACCCAAATCATTAAGGAAACGGCATTTATTTGAGGCAATGTACATATTTTTTTAACTTATTGTTAATTGTATACACTGTTACTTTAGCCGCAATACGCAATAGATGACACGATATGAGCCGAAAAAATGAATATGCAAGCCTATTTCTAGGCGTGTTTACTTGATTATCTGAAGCTGTAATAGGTTAAGAAAATAAATGCAACTTTTAAATGTCAACTTTCGTAACATTTTCATTTAAGTCTTAATGTAATCTAGTTGCATGAAATGCTTTAACTTATTATTTTGGCTGATTGTAGAGGTTGAAGAATGCGCATATTGACAGATGCTTAGAAAATTTATTTAAACTAGAGATGCATATTCAACTTAAATATTGAAGGATAACTGGACAAGATATCCGTTTCCAAAAAAGAGATCGACTTCACTGAATTTTTCAAGTTTGCCTATTTTGTAGAGCGGTTATATTTTGAAGGCCGATGTCTTTCCACACAATGAAGACCTTATTCAGGTGAGAATTCAAGACCTCAAGGTGCAATGAAATTAAAGCTCAAACAAAGGAGAAATAGAGGACAGTGGCACTCTCCGATATAGCCGACTGGCCAGGAATCGAAGCCATTGTTGAGTTTAGACTATGTACCGGACACGATTGCCTGCCAAAACAACTTCACAGATTGGGAGTATACACTCAACCCACATGCCCGCTATGTAACCTACAAGGGGAAATGGAGAAGACCCACCTGCCGTGAAACCTACAGGAGGAAATGGAGAAGACCCATCTGATTCGCATACAGGAGGAAATGGAGAAGACCCACCTGATTCGGTGTTCAAAGGAGGAAATGGAGAAGACCCACCTGATTCGGTGTCTAGCGGAGGAAATGGTGATGACCCACCTGATTCGGTGTCCAGCTCTAAAGACAACGCAGACCCACCTGATTCGGTGTCCAGCTCTAAAGACAAGGACCCACCTGATTCGGTGTCCAGTCCTAAAGACAACGACGGAAACCCATAGATACTGGGAAGCATGAAGACAGCTAATGAACTGCTATATATGTACCCCCCACCCATGGGGAAAGTTGAAGTCAAAGTTTAAGGGCTAATGATAAATATCATAAAGCCTGCCATTTGAAATAATATTTCGAAGGCCATTAGAGTAAAGGCCACAGTTCAACTTGTCAAGGTTTTAAAATTGAATTGTCATTTTAATTCAATTTGACATGAGTTTGAACATTGAGGCTAGGGTTCTTGCAAGATTTTTAGTCCTGCACAGAGCATTTGATAAAATGAAGAAAACATTTTAAATAAATTAATTCAAGCCTTTTAAAATATCCTTCAGGTATATCGGTATTTGCAAAGGTGGTTACTAAGGTAGTTGAGGAATATGCTCCCCTCCTCCTCTTCAAACTTACAGGAGACCAAATATGTAGAAAACGGTTCGATTTCTTCTCGGCATGATAGTACCTTGTCTTCTTTGAATGAGCATCGCGATGCAGATGAATGCTGTCCACATTCTTGTACAAAAATAAGCAGACAAATAGAAGGAGAATTTAACATAATCAGTCAATTTCACCCTCGCGGATGGATCTGAAAACAAAAGGAGGCTTGAAGGTAAAAATAAATTATATCAATTTGGCCAATTTAAGATTCTAATTATTTTAACATTTTATTTTGCTTAAATGACGTAAATGACGTAATTCATCTATGAAGATACCTTTTAAATATATTTTATAATTATTTTAGGGCGATTCTGATTTAAGGCGATTTAAGCTATTTGTTAAAAAATGAAAATGGATTAGGTCAAATTAAAATTACAAGAACCAAGCAGTTTTCTTTTTTCTGAAACTGCCTTAAAATAGACGGTATGAGCGAAAAATAGTAAAAAACACGATGACATTTTGTAAAAATACTGAATTGGTTTGTGCAAACAGTAGCGTTCTAACTGTATCTACAACGCAGCTGAGAATTTTAATTCGTATTTTATTAGACACAGTCACTTCCATTTATTTATAAATCCTTTCAAACACAAAGGCTATTTTTAGAAAAAAACGTGTAACTTTGTTCACTTTAAGCTATTTTCAACTCAAATTAGACAAAGTCTGAGTAGTTAGGAAGAGATAATCAAGTGATAACTCTAACCCTCTAACAGGCTTCTCCTTTAAAAGCTATGAGAACCCATTCATAGATGGTTGCAATTTATAATTGACCCACCAAATATCCAGGAGTCTTTGAAGGCACCCAAAACAACGACCGCTGCGGTGACTAGGGTGCAGTCGAGATAGCAAATCACAAATCGATGCGGCATCATCCTTGTTTTCCCACCGGCCATAAAAACCATTCTTGTCCAGAACTAAAATATTTGACAATTAGTCATTAAAACGTGACTAAAAGCCTCGTGGTCATTCATTAGATTCCAGAACTGTTTTTTTCCATCTTCAACTTGAAAGGTGAATTTGTCCGAATATGAACTTTCTGTTTCATTTTTTTTGCAATAAATATGATAATGGTATTCACAAAGTTTAGCATTTGGAGTTTTTTATTCATTTACAATATTCGCATTTTCAACATTCTTATTCTTTCTTTTTAAGTTATGCCATATTCGGAACTTAAATAATAATAGGATATATCTGATGTAATAGCTTTTAACAAATCTTAAATCATAAGTGGCAGAATTTTTTAATTCATCGAAAAATATAAATTATGTTTTTCTTGTCATTTGATCAATAAAGGTTTTTAAATTTTTGCTTCCATGAAAGCATTTTGCTAATTTTAATAGATTTTTCACGAATTTTAACGATAATTAAACCATTAGTTTTAAAATTTGGGAAGTGCGATAGACTTACCTCCACGTGGTGCACCCTGGGCAACGTATACTCACACGGCAAAAAGTCTATTAACCGGCAGTTGGCTTCTCACTTCAAACTACCATCACCTCACTGTATGTCGTAGTCGACCACTTCTACAGTACTCACCTCACCGTACTCTCTATCATTGTGCCTGTCTCTTATACGTCTACAAATCACTCTTCGTTTCCCCTCGTGAATTTTTCTTACTTTGATGTTTCTCCCCTCTGTGAAGTCCGAAGTCAGCTAAGGGCTAATTATAACTATCAAATCGACTGCCATTTGAAATAAATAGTTTAAAAATTTAAGAGGTGTAGTGAAACCTCCCTACTTTAGATTTAATTATTAAATGAAATAACAGTATCTCAATAAGGATCTAAAAAGGCAAACTATGAATTGCTTGTATCAAATAGGCTTCGTTATATCAGTTTACCAACTTTATACGATATAGAAGTCACTTATAATTAACATCGTGAATGCTTACCCCAGTGATTAAGCTGACCCACGAAACAAAGATCGCAGTTCTCTCGAGAAAATGGGCATATATGGAAATATTTGCGTAGAAAAGATACAACACGCACTGATAAATAAAGAGACACGGGAGAAAGAGAAAAGTCCCAATGTTGATATTTTTCCCTACCTAAAATTAAACGCCAAGTGAAAATATAGCTGTCTTTTAACTTGCTAAACTGAGTTAATTTTACTCCGCACAGCAAAATCGATAGGTAAATGAATTAAATTCCAAAAGGCTTTAAAGTTACTTGGTAGTGAATTTACAATGCTATTCAAAATTAGGCTATTATTACCAAGCCTTCATGCTGTAAAATCAAACGATTCGATAATGTAAGCTAAAATGGTGGATTGCAAACTGGAACTTTCAAAATACTTTCATGAAATACATCAAGTTAATAGTCACTTTTTAAAATTACTACCGTTCGAACTGAATATTGTAGTATACGACGGTCATCAATAAATAGGTACGTGAGATTAGTGACAATGATTAAAATCCTTTTTATAAATTGAATATTAATTTTTGTGTTCTATTTTCAAGACAGTCTAATTTAATTATTCCAAGTGAAATCGTTAGCAAAACAAAACTGATAAATTATTATTTAACAATGCATACAATTTCAGATAAACAAACTTTCGTTAAAGCTGAAATTTGCAAAATCAGTTTAGAAAAAATTCACAATTAAAAGTAAATATACATTTCTATTAATAAAATTCAAACAATTGAAAAATATAACTTCTTGAGTCACATATGATGTATTAGGTTGGCAACGAAGTCATTGCCGATTTCAAAAAAGAAGGCGAATTCGGAATTTTTGTTTAAAAATAGAACTTTATTCAATTAGATATTGGCCGCTCTTGTCGATGACGTTTTTCCATCGTTCTGGCAGAGTAAAAATTCCCCGTTCGTAAAATGTCTGGTCTTTGCTATTAAAAAACTGAATTAGGTGTGATCCGACATCATCCGCGTTGTTAAAATTTTACCATTTAAAGAGTTTTGCATGGAACGAAACAAATGGTAATCCGAAGGCGCAAGGTCAGGGCTATATGGTGGGTGTGACAAAACATCCCAACTCAGTTCCAATAATTTTTGCCGAGTAACCAAAGATGTGTGGGGCCTTGCGTTATCATGATGGAAAACAACACCCTTCCGATTTGATAATGCCGGCCGCTTATCTTCAATCGCATCCTTCTTTCAGTTTTTCGAGTTCTTCAACATACATATTTGAATTTATCGTTTGGTTTTGCGGCATGAGTTCAAAATACAAAATTCCTTTGTGATCCCACCAGACTGGCAGCATAATCTTTTTTGGTGAATCTCTGCTTTTGATACAGTTTGGGCTGGTTGATCTTGCTTCACCCATGATCTCTTGGGAGTAACATTGTTATAAATTATCCACTTTTCGTCGCCAGTAACTAGGTTCTTCAGAAATGGATCATTCTCATTGCGTTTCAGTAGCGGCGAATCACAGATGCTAATCCGTTGCGTCAAATGAATTTCAATGCATGTATGCGACACATTGAGCTTCTCTGCAATATCTCGTGTTGTGCTGTGACGATTTAAATCGATAATGGCCTTGATATGGGTTTCATCCACTTAGACTGGGCGGCCAGATCGTTGTGAATTTTTCAGTGAAAAATCACCGCAACGAAATCTTTCAAACCAATTTCGACACTGCCTTTCTTTTAAGGCTTCATCTCCATATACGGCACATAACTTCTTTTGTGCTTGCGATGCGTTCTTGCCTTTTCGGAAGTAATACAATAAAATGTGTCGGAAGTGCACGTCCTGTTCTTTCATTTTTAAATTGGGATAAAAACAAAACTAAAGAACTAAACAATAAATTTTTTACTAATTAACCTAGAAGCCCATACAGTAAGAAAAAATATAGGTTAGATGCTCTGGCCACGTTAACAAAACAAAAGAAAGTATAGAGTGAATCTGTCAACAAAAACGGCAATGACTTAGTTGCCAACCCAATAGTAACTGCCAATCAAATCTGATTTAAGTTCACTTACGAGATCTGGGGTGACTGCGTACCTGGAGGCGAGGGTTAGAAGATTGGCATTTGAGGGAGATAAGGAGTAGAGGAGAGTGAAGCTTCCCACGGACTCATTTCCAGAATTTTTTGCAAAGATATGATAGAGTTTAATGGTCAAAATTGGCATAAGTAACCTTGAGGAAAAAGGAATGATTTTAGTCTGTAAATAACCAACCCCATCTCAAATTCAAGAATTATCGCACAATTTTGTATGCGTTTTGTTTACCAACAAAGTAGGCAATATAAACTTACGCTTTGATTGAAAGAATGATTGCGAGTAGAGGCCTACCATGTGCTGGAACGCCGGTAGCCGAATTGACACAAACAAGCCCAAGATAGAACAGAGCAGAACAAATTATTGTCTCACCTAAAGGGAATTGAATTACCCTTTAGGCACAACCAAAGCATTTGAGGGAGATATCTATAGTACGCTGATCGCATATTCTCGATCAAGTTGAAATATCTCATAGTTTCATTGCATTTTTGCTACTAATCTATGCTTACTGAAGAGGAAAACTTCTCCTTTAAAGTCAACTATCAGCACAATACAAGCATATGATACATAGGAATGGAAACCACCATGAATGAACAATCTCCCAACGAACATTCATTTATTGATCTAGTGCCTTATCTGCAAGGGAAATATTTTTTTTAAAAAAAAGACAAAGCTCGCCAAGGCGAATTCAGTTTTCAGCTTAAATGATGCTCTGTTTGAGAAAAACAGATTTAACTTCACCTCGTATTTCGACACCTCGTTCATGAAAGTTAAAGAGGTTTTCGTATCACGTGGAATAATTCAAAGTTTCTTCCTTAACTTACTTTTTAGATAAAAAAATAGAATCTTTCTGTAGATTCTTATTATCTGGAATTACACTAATAAAACGGAGAAAATGTACGAATGTCCATCATTTACAAGACTATGTTTTAATAAAGCACTTTTACTTACTTTCGTTTCAAATTCAATCGAAATCACTAAGCATTGGTTCTTATTTGATTAGATATAGCTAGTATAGTGGGTTGAAATATAATTTTACGAAGTAATTGCATAAGTCAAGGGAAACTTTAGAGATAAACAAATCAGATATTTGTTTAAATAATAGACAAACGTCGTTCAATTTAAGCTTATTTCTTTTTATCACAGTATCAAAACACCCTGAAAAAATAACTGCCAAAAAATAACCCAATTTGCGATTACAGGAATAAAGGTAAAGTTTATTTATTATTAATCCAGGACATAGTTAGGAACAAATTCAGTGCCACTTTACAAATTGTAACTTTTACGGCAAAGGTGAACACTTACGCACTCTAAGGTCATGGCAGATGTCATTCGCTCACTATTTCGGTCGTTTGGACTAACTATTCACATAAAAATTGTCATCAAATAATTTCATAATTTTATTAAAAATATAAGCAATAATTACCTAACCTTAAAATTAAATCTTTATTGACTTGAGGCTATACTTTATATGAGAATAATTAAATGTAAAGTTTAAGTATAATTTTTCGTCGTTAAAAGTTATCCATTTTCATCCAACATCCCTGAGCATAACGAAAAAAAACTCATTCAATTCTATTCAACTGCCCCCCCACCATACTAAATTTAATTAGGATCATCGTAGCTCGAATGAAAACTTGTAGACCACTTTGTCATTTCCTGAGTCATAATAATGCATGAGATATAAAACTTGGAGTTTTAAAATTTTGGCCGAATTCACCACCTCAAAAACGAGACCTAAAGCTTCAACATGAAAATGTCATCAGTACCTCCGCTTGGGAAGTCTTTTAAAGCGACACACGAAGAGAGTTCGCAGCTAAAGCAAACACAACTTGATATTTACTTTAATCTCAAATTCGTCAAAATTTCATGATGAAATAATAAAATGACCATCATAGGGTGCAAAGTAAACAAAGTAATTGACGAACGATTTAATTAAATCAGTTGATCAATAAATTCTATATACTACGTGTGCGGACACATCCAGATACCGAAACCATGAGCTGAAACATTGAAGCAGTTTGAAACTAGAAAATGAACGCCATTATTTGAATAATTCGAATAATTTAGGTTGGTTTTAGACTTCTATTTGAATCTCTCCCCAAATTTCAAGTCCTTCCTAGACTCATTAAGTATTTTGGATGTTTAAAATCTACTGTTTGATTCACGATCAAAAGGGTCTTATTTGCATTTTAAAGCAACATAATTTAAATGAAATTATGAATAATTACTTAGATATTATTATTTCCAGATATTTTCCATTGAAATCTGATCAATGAATAAAACTCGGTTTAATGAAGTAATATAGGGAAAGAGGTAAGTCATTAGTTATGCAGATGAGAAAATCTAATTCTCTAAGAAGTATATTTTTAACAAACTCTCATAGAAAGAGTTAATGATTTTGGTAAAACTAACAAAAGTCTCTTTGAGATTGGTTCACTTTAGAAGCAAAACAAATGTTTCTTGACTATAGTATAAACTAGTGTGACAATTATCCGCTATTCCAATGAATAGACCCATTTGGATGACTAGATTTCTAATGATCGAAATTTTTAGCTATAATCAATAAAAATGATCTAAGTAAATTAAAAATCTACAATTTTATGACTTATGCAAAAAAGTACTTTCAAAGTGTCGAATAGTACATACCGGTAAAAAACAGAAATTTTGACATTCTTATAAAAATATGATGAAAATAATGAGACGATATCATTCATTTCATATTTTCAATAATTGCCGAAATGCAAAAGTCGATTTATGCTATCAATTTTAACTTATATTTTCTAGAAAAAAAATCGGCTCTGGGGCAAGGCAATAATTAAATTTAATTATTTTAAACTGATTAAGACCAAATTACCACTAACAGCGCTACAATAAATGTTGCTAAATATGCATTCACTTACCACCTTGGCATGTAAAATAAGAGAATGGATAATGCAAATAAGAAGTAGCATTAACTTACAGAATGTGTTGAAAAAATGCGTTAGATAGATTGGGGGCTTATGATGGAATGCAGCATTGAAAATTAACCCAAGAACAAAGGCCATCACGAGTGGATCCAGTAGAATTTTGCAAAATATCTGAAAAAAGAAATCACTTGAGCTTAAAAAACGATCAGAAAGGATTGTTCTACCAATTTTCAAGCCTTCATAGTTTATCATGTGAAAAATAGAGAGGAAAAAATATGGCAAAATAAACAGTAATTGCGGGGTTATTTCTTCAAAAGTAGAAGTTTGCATTGCAATTTGTAATTTTGCTATTTATTTATCGCAGATAAGTTATGAAAACTAACCAATTCGAAGTAAATGGTAGGCACCATGGTTATCAGTGTTAAAATGAATTTCTTAATAAAATAATTAAGGTAATATTATAGCTTACCTTGAAGAGAGTTCTGTAGGTCATGTGTGCAGAAGAGTGTTTGGTCAACGTCTGTAATATCACTCGGCGTTCTCTGACTGTATTCATTTCAAGTAGGAAAAATGCAATTGGCTTGAAGATGAGGATTTGTAGGGCCATAATGATGACACAGTGATACGCCATTAGAGGATAGAGAATTCGAACTAAAGTTTAAGAAAAAAATAAGGAACAATGATTTATTTTCAAAAAGATTTGCCTGTATACTCAAACGGCAAACATGTTTACAAATTAGAAGTTGTCTTCAAACCACCTTGGCCCAACTGTATGTGATATTTCACTACTTTCACAGTACTCACCTTACCTTTTTTCTACCTTTGTGTCTGTCTGTCCCTTTACGTTTTTAAAACACTTTTCTGTTCCTCCTCCCTCCACTTTTTGTGATTTTGACGTTCTTCCTCTCTGTGAAGCCTGAAGTCGACTAAAGAGCTAATGATACCTATCATAAAGCCGCCATTTGGCATAAATAAGTTTCATAAATTTCAACTTCCTGGACACTAAACTCTTACTATGATTATTTCCGTGGCCTTTGACTATTTGTGAATATTTTAGGAATCCAAGTAGCAAATAGGACATCCTTATTAAACCAAATATTTCATGAGTCATCAACTTTGAAGATAGGGAATAATTGGTTATCCGGATCATAGAACACAAATATTTATAATATTATCAAATTCTACACACTTTTACTAGTATTATCATAACCTATTTTTGTTTTAAGAACCAATAATAAAACTTTGGTTTATTATGATGTATTTCGTAAATTGAGTTCGCATTTTGGTTTTCTGATCAAACCCATAAAAATACGTTCCAGATTTTAGAAAATATCCGATTTTCTCAACAAATTATTCTGACACCAAACTTCATTTATTATTTTTAACACTAACTAACTAGCCAATATGAAGAAAATAGAAGTGCGCAATTTTTTTGTTTAAATAGAACAAAAACAAAATAATTTTTTCAATTTATGTGTAATTTACCATTTGTGAAAAATATTATTTAGAGGACTTCATTACAGGATAATTTTTAAGAAAGATATGAAATGTGACACCGGTCCTCAACGTTTTTTTAGTACGATGTGTATGAAATCAGATTTTAAATGACACCACTGTGAAGCGAAATGCAATATCCAAAAGTGGATTTAAAATTTGCGAAAAAAACAATTAGTTTAAAGTATATGTTGATAGTGTTGCCACTCTTCAGAATTAAAGATTTTTTTATTTTTAAATAAAAATTTGCGGATAACAGAAGCTATGGACTGACAAAATTTTCGAGAAAATGACATTCGCAAATAAGCATATAGGTTAAATAATAATGTAAAAACAAATTCTGACATGGTAAATAAAACATTCGAGAATTTTATTCTTTGGTTTGAAGCAGGGTGTGCGAGAGATTTATTTCCACGTAGAGCACTCTGAGCAACGTATACTCATACGGTAAAAAAGTCTATTAATCGGCAGTTGACTTCTGACTTCAAACTACCATGACCCCACTGTGTCATATTCGACCACTTCCGCAGTACTCACCTCACCTTTGTTCTACCTTTGTGTCTGTCGACTTTTCACATCTGTATATCACTCTTCCGTTCCATCTCTCCAATTTTTGTCACTTTGTTGTTCCTCTCCTCTGTGAAGCCCGAAGTCAACGGAGTTAATGATAACTATCATAAAGACTCGCATTTGGGAAAAATAAACAAAGAACTAAATTTTCAAGCGCCCTCGAATCGAAGAAATTAACTTTTAAGTGAATATATATATATATATAAGGATGTATNGCATAGACTTACCTCCACGTGGTGCACCCTGGGCAACGTAAACTCATACGACAAAAAGTTTATTAACTGGCAGTTAACTTCCCACTTTAAACTACCATCACCTCACTATATATCATATTGGACTGCTTCACAGTACTCACCTCACCTTTTTCACTCTACCTATGTGTCTGTCTCTTTTACATCTTTGAAACACTCTTCTGTTCCCCCCCCCCTCTCGACTCTTTTCAATTTGATGTCCCTTCCTCTCTGTGAAGCCTGAAGTCAACTAAAGGGCTAATGATAACCATCAGGACGCCTGCCATTTGATATAAATATATGCTTGTATCGATTTGCATTATCCACCGCCAAGCAAAACAAGTAACAATTGATATTCCTGTGAAAGAGTATCATCACAAATGTCTTTGAAAGTGTGAAATGACAATTAAATGTTGTCTGTGGTGAACATTGGAAGGACATAGTTCAGCGAATAAAGAAGTTCTACTACATTTGAATTTCGGATTAATCAGATAGTTCACTCTTCACATTCGCATTTTACCCTAAGTCCAGTGTTTCGAAATACAACTTTCAAAATCTATTCTCTAGGTTCCTTGGCGAGCTCCTGTCCACAGTGGCCAAAGCCTATAGCTGACCAATTAACGATTGCCCTTTCAGTCTTCAAGCATCCAACTGCAATGACCTGATCTTACATCCCAATCCATCGAATAAATAATCGAAAATACGCTCTCTTTTGCTATTAGCACAATAAGGCTAAACTCATATAGTTTGGAAGATTTCTCCTCTACAGGCTTTGAGGTTGGCAGCTTAGTACTACTAGCATAAAAAATTAAAAGTATGAAACGTGACTAATCGACTAACCAAAAGCATTTAATCACGCCATTAGTAACATTGCACCTTCTAATACTAGACATATGAATAGCTTTATCCAAATATTTAACTAAGTGCAGCTCAGATATTTCCTACTTTTACATAAAGCGCGAATGAATAAGCCGGGGAGACATAACACCAATGCGTAAGGCAACATCTTTTTGTTGGTGCACATATTATGCCCAGTGCAATCACACCATAACACAATAACTTTTCAAGGTCACAAAAATGGAATAGAGATGAATTAAGAGACTTATTTGGAATTACTAAGGCTAATTGGAGTATTATATTTATATATATACATTTTAACGATCAATGAAATGCAACCCGAAATTAAAAATTGGTGGGTTTTGAGATTAACTCGATTCCAAACAGATTAGCAAATGCCAACAATTAAAACAAATGGATGTCGTTTATTACATATCTTTAAAAACGTTTTAGGAAGTCGTCGGTTTGTTTTGAACACGGAAATCAACATTTTAGAATCCGCCTGAAAAGAAGTACCTTTTTCTGATGTCCACTAAAAATTAAAGACCGAAAAAGGAATTGAGTAAGTTGAATAGGGCTTGAGTTACTTTGTTGAAAACCTTATCTTAAACCAATAAGCTGTTTTATTGGCATATTTTGAGCTGGAGGAATCCTTACAGACATGTGACTTGAATTGCAATCAGTTGATTTATTATTGGCTCGCAAAACGTGCGCTATAAAAGTACAAATGAATGAAAACATCCGGTTAAGGCCATCCACGCTCAACAGCCTTCTAAACTAGCAATGATGCCGTGGCATGTCAAGGACGCTATTAACAACTTGCAAGACTAGAACTTCAGTTTAAATCCCCACTCACATTAAAGGCATTATTGAAAGGTTCGAATCCCTCAAACCTTAACAGAAGATGGCGAGAGCTGAGGTCAATTAAGTAGTAATTAAGGCAAAGGATGAGCACCAGCGCATTGATTACTAGTATAAGTTGCAAGCTACCAAGCATATTATTAGTACTATTACTATTTCAAATGGCAGGGTTTATGCTATTTGTCATTAGCTCTTAATTCACATTATTAATATCTGATCGAAAGTAAGCTTAGCTAGCAACCTCGCCAACTTTATAGGGAAACATTTGCCAGACAAGCAGGGGACGTATGAAACTAATACCTGCTTCTTAAGACGTAATTCGCCACTAATATATAATGGTTCTTTTCCCCCACACTTGTGACATCTTTCTAGAATATTCTAATTCGAGCAAGATTCCTTTGAAAGTCTTAATAGAAATGTGGGCTCCATACTACTGCACTAAAAAAGCGACATCTTCATTTCCCTGAATGAAATTGTAAAGATTCACTTGCTTCCCTTCAATCAATTCAATGCTGAGAACAATATTCATGGTCTTAAGGTCGTATTGTCAGAACTGGTAGCAACTGATATTTTTATTTGGGAGAAATTAATGCTAATAATAAATTTTCTGGTGTAGTTTTTGGGCATAAGCTAAATCTGCTGATAAGCAATAGACTGAGAGGACTTCAAAAAAGATCTTTCAGCAATTTGGGTATTTGCATTAATCTCTCACGAGGAGGTAAAAGCACAGATGTGAATAGAAGTAAAAAAGAACTTGAAGAAGGCCAATAAGGGAAAAGAAGACGAGGTTGGCTTTCATTGAAGTCGTATGATATCAAAAGTTCAAAATTTATTTAAATTATGACTGGATTGAGATGTGTATGGTGCCTCAATTATGCGAATTTTATAAATTGGCTTTCATGATCTTTAATATGCTTATGTCTATGATATTCAAAGTATTGGACATTCGTGATTGGTTATGGCACCTTGATTAATATGGTTATTCTGTTAGCCATGTTGTTTTAAGGTAGCCAAGTGGTGCACCCTGGGCAACGTACACTCATATGGCAAAAAAGTCTATTAGCCGGCAGCTGACTTCTGGCTTCTAACTACCATCACCCCACTGTATGTCATATTCGACTACTTCCACAGTACTCACCTCACCTTTGTTCTACCTTTGTGTCTGTCGACTTTTCACATCTGTATATCACTCTTCCGTTCCATCTCTCCAATTTTTGTCACTTTGTTGTTCCTCTCCTCTGTGAAGCCCGAAGTCAACGGAGTTAATGATAACTATCATAAAGACTCGCATTTGGGAAAAATAAACAAAGAACTAAATTTTCAAGCGCCCTCGAATCGAAGAAATTAACTTTTAAGTGAATATATATATATATATAAGGATGTATAAAATAAAATTGTTATGTGAAATTTTAATCGAAATACGCAACACATTCCTCCTCTAAAAAGACCAAAGCACTAAATGTAGAATTTTTTGCTACTTTTCGGAGATGCCAGAAAAAGGTGGGATAACAAATAAGGGCAAAATAATGAACCGATATGATGACTCATTAAATCCTAATAACAAAATAATTTAAAGAAATATTAACATTTCGGGAATAGATAAGCTAGAAAAATATCATTTCAAGTTATAACAAGTAATCATTTTATAATAATTATTAAGTCATTAATCAAATCGTCAAAAGCTAAGAGTGAATTTTGCTTTAATAGATTTCACCTAATTAAATTTATTAATATTACACAGCACAAAGCAGAAGAAAGAAATCGATATTGTGCTAGTAGGATAGTTTTTTACGCCAGATACCGCTTTGCACTTTTTTCTAAAAGGCGAATTCCATATAGCATGTGCTTTGCGATGAAGGTGATACGCTTTTAATCAGATTATCCGTGTTTCATCTTATCAGCATTTGCATTCAATTGTAAGTTTTCAAGTTTGAAGTGGGTATCACAGATTGAAAAATATATACGAGAAAAAAGAACTATTTAAAAATAAATAATTTTGCGTCACAGAATTTAGGTGAATCATCTGTTGTAATTCCATTCAGAAGTAATAACTAATAGTAAAAATAATAATAAAACAAGTGGAGTTGATAATGGTCAACGAGAGCATTTTAGAATGTCCAAATCTACTCTCGATTCCCAAATCCGATGAAAAAAGAAGTAGTTATGACTTGTTCTAGAGAAGAGTAGATGCTCACATGTTGGGTAAATCACAGCAATATCATTCGTGTCTGTCAAGAGGAGACTAATAATTGCAGCGAGTCCCAGGAGTCGACCCCGAGATATTGAGAGACAGGCAAATATTCCAACAAGAACCATGAGCACTCTGGAGACGAATATCGCCCGTATTGCGGTCCATTGAATTGTATCAAGTTGTATTGTTAATGTGATCTGAGATAGGAAGACTGGGTGAGTTATTGGCATAGTAGTTTAAAACATTTTTAAATTTAAGTACCTATACCTTGAGCTATTTATGAATTGTAATGAATAACATTCCGATTAATAAATAATAAATTTATTACGAATTTGGGCTGGAGTGACCGCGTAGTAGCCAAGTCAACTTAGATAATTGAAGCTTCAATTATTGAGTAGATAATAAAGAAGTCGAATACTTGAAACATTTACTGGGATTTAATTGACAACTTAAAAAGTAATATATAGGATGCGTCAGGAATGCACTTAATTGTTGTGCATTAATTAATGCGAAAAAGCGTAGTCCTTTTGCTCAGATTCTATTTCAACTGATTATCAAAGTGAGATATAATTTGTGTATAAGAAATTTTTGATTGGTTTAATTGAATAATTGGTGAAAACATATAAATACAATAAAAGATAGAGAGAATTGTCAGACAAAACGTCTGTACTAATTTTTTTCTGTAAAAATTATCAGTAGAAATTGGATTCAATTTACTTTTGCTTTATAATAAACGAATGATTTATTTATTTATATCAAATGGCAGGCGTTTTGATAGTTACCATTAGCCCTGGAGCTGACTTCGGGGCTTCACAGAGAGGAGAAGGAACATCAAAGTGACAAAAAGTCGAGAGGGGAACAGAAGAGTGATCCACAGGTGTAAAAGAGGCAGACAGACAGACAGACACAAAGGCATAAAAAGGTAAGATGAGTACTGTGGAAGGGGTCGAATATGACATACAGTGGGATCATGGTAGTTTGAAGTCAGAAATCAACTGCCGGTTAATAGACTTTTTTGCCGTATAAGTATACGTTGCCCAGAATGCACCACATGGAGGTGATTGAATAAGTGTTCAGTTATTAAATGATT